TTGTCGATTTATTGCAATTCCCCCTAAAAGTAAACTGAGGTTATAATTTTGATTAAAACAATGTAAAAAATGGATTCTATAAAAAATGTAGTCTATTTTTATATTATTTTAATTATAATATCAACCTTAATTTGTTTTTAAAGTGAAATTGTAAAAAATTGATAAGTTCAGTATGCTTTAATTCACCTTTAGGGTGCAATTGCACCTTAAAAGTAAATTAAAGTGTAATTATAACTAGGTTGATAAGTTTAGATTGCTTAAGGTACAAAAATTTATTTAGGGTAGAATTGTAAGCATTTGAAAAGTTTAGGGTAAAATTGAAAGTTAGGCCACCAAACAGGATGATGAAGAAAATTTCAATAAGATGGATGAGACGCCAGCGGTTTAGGTAAATGTGAATTTTAACTATCCATAAATTTATTTAGAATTTTACTATTATATCTATCTATTTAAAATATATATTTATCTACTTGCATCTAGACTTGTTAATTATTTTTACTATTTATCTACTTGTATCTAGTCGACTCGGCTCATTTGCATTTTTAATGAAGTAGTTATAACTCTTTCTCTCTTAACCAAAAGTTTCGATTTAAATCTTAAATATAAAAATTATCCTGTTGGGAGATTCGTCCCTAGGACACTCAAATGAAATGTAGTTGGAGTTGAGTGAAATTTTGAATATAGGTAATCATAAATAAAAAAAATTAATGTTATTGAAGTCTAAATTCATTGATTTGTTATATTATTTTCCGTCAAATATTTATATTTAAAGTCAAAAATCGAAGACCTTAGTTAGGAAAAAGAATTTGGAAACTTGAAACAGAAACTTATATGTCCAACTGACTAAGACTTTAAGGATAAGGGTTTACAATTTGTCATAATCCTAATCAATGATGATATTAGTTGAACATTACCAACTTGAACTTTGGGCCAATCCCCTCTTATTGCTTCCTGTCTTTTTGGTAAAGGATTATATTCAAGAAATTCAAATTTTATTATTTAATTGTAGCAATTCTTGTTGTTTGTACATCCAATCTCTTCCTTTTCTACGAAAAGAATCAAAATTGTAAATTGTAGTAGCAATGATATGTTGGTGAATAACTTGTGAATGAATTCAATCAAAGTTTATTTATATTTGTAGAAGTTTAATAAAAAAAATATTTTAATTCAAATTAATAATTGGTGGTTGTGCGTCAGGTTCGCGCTGCTCAATTATAAGTGGAAGAAGTGGCGATTGGCTCTAATATCAATTATTATGATCTTAGGAGAACCCAGGACGGAGTTACATTATACATAGTGGGGGCAATCCATTTCATTCATCTTTTAAAAAATATTTATAAAACATGATTAAATTAATAAAAAAATATATATTAAGTAAAAAATTTTAGAGTTTTTAATATAATTTACTCTACTAAAACTCAAATTAAATAAATAACCAATTGAAAAAAAATTCTAGTTCTGCCACTAGGAGAACCATATCGTAAAAGCTAGTTGTTGAAGTTGGCTACATTAAAATCTCATACTTCTAATGTGGGATCCAAGATACGCTATATTTTGTCTTGCAATTAAGTCCTAACATAATCATTCAAAAATATTACTCTTGAAGCGTTTCGAGTGAAATTGAATTTTGATCGATAAAATGGAATTTCTATTCTTATTAAATAAACTTAATTTCCTAAATAAAAACCAATGAAATTTGATTTAAAGTATTTTGAATTATTTAAAAAATTACAAGTTTGAACTCTAATTAAAGGATTATTATACTTATAAAAGCAATAATCCTACTCTAAACACTTTCTTTTTGATTTTATCGAATTACTTTTTTGACATTAACAATGATAACTTTGAAAATATTCCTAAAAAAAAATAATAATAACTTTGAAAATACGACTTAAAATATTTAGTGAATAGAATGTTTCACACTCCAAAATTAATAAAATCAGAGGATAACGTCCCATCAATTCAAAGCACTAAAAAACTTGGTAGGCTAAACGCAATTAGCTAATTATTCTTGGAGGAAATGAATTGACAATATGGGCTCAAGTGTATATAATATTTAGCTTTTGAAGAAGCACAATTTATCTAGTGAATTTATTTACTAAAAAAAAAAAATTGTTGATCTTAACTTTATATCAAATGATTGAAAAGACTCAATTTATAAAAAAATAAAATGATACTTTTTACTTATAATAATATTAATAATTTTATCGGTTAAAAATATTATTTTTTATTTTTTTGTCAAAAAATGAATTTTTTTTAACTCATTTGGTGTAAAATTTAGTGATACTTATAAAAAAAAATAATTTTTGAGTAAATTATATTCCATCCATTCCATTTTGTTTGATTGTTATTTTTTTTTGGATATCCAAGGTTTCTAAATTTGTATATGTAAATAATTATTTTTTCCATGATAACCTTTATAATCTTTCATTAAATGAATGACTTTTATTAATATTTTAATGAGTTAAGGGAAAAAAAGGACAATTGTTGACTAAATTCTTAATACGCGTGTTTTGTTAAACCATGCAAATAAAATGGGACGGAAAAAGTATATCATACTCCCTCCGTTCCATAATACTCGTTATATTTAAAAAAATAGTTTGTTCTAAAATACTTATTACATTAATGATTTCAATGAGTACTAAATTTTTTTTTTAATATTTATATTTTATATATGACGAATAATTATTACTTTAATTTAATAATTTTCTTAGAAAATTAGTAGTAAATTAAAGATTATATAGTTAATTTATTTAATAATTTATTATGACGAATAATATTACTTTAATTTAATAATTTTTTAGAAAATTAGTAAGTAAAAATTAAAAGATTATATAGTTAATTTATTTAATAATTTATTATAACTTATAATTTAATAATTTTCTTAGAAAATTAGTAGTAAATTAAAGATTATATAGTTAATTTATTTAATAATTTATTATAACTTAGACAAATTTAATAATTTTCTCAAGAAACGTAAAATTTTAACTATGACAAGTATTATGTAACAGATTGAATCTTATTCTTTAATTTTTTGGCCTCGGAATTGTAGATAGAATATAAATCAAGAAACATTGGGAAAAAAAGAAAAAGAAAGTAAAAGCTTAGTCCTAAAGAATGGGAAGAAACCAAGGCAAAATAAATAGAATCCCAAGAAGCAAAAGAGAATCAATTTATTCAAAAGCAACATCCATTTTCCGATTTGTTTTATCTCCAAAATCCACCCCTTATAAATAAATAAATTAATTAATTAATTAATTTATAATTTCAATTTTAAATCTTTGGCGCCGGATTTCTTAGCGCTATCAAAGCGCGCCATTCACGCTTCGTCTTTCCTTTTTCGTTTCCTTTTCGTCCAATTTTGACATAAAGAAATTAAAATTTTACTTTGGTCATAATTGGCCGTTTTTCTTTGCAGTTTTTTCAGTTAATAGTCATCACGTTAGGCTAGCCTCAATTCCATTTTTGTTTTTTAAGAAAATAAAATTTTGGCCCCATTTTAGATTTTATTTTCATTCTATTCTATTATTATTACTTTCATAAAATTGCTTTTGACTTCTTTTATATTTTTCTAAATTTTATAGTGCATTATTATAATTATTCACCATCAACATTTTCAACAAAATGAATATTTTTTTTTATTCTTTAAGAGATTTAACGGGCCGAAATAACATGATGAATTATACAGAACAGCGGGGAGTTTTTCCTTAACTCACCAAATTGGTGAAAACTCTTCTGATCTATATGAATCAAACTCAAGATCTCTCAATCTTCACAGTAATGAAAAGACCAATCAGACCGCACTGGTTGGTAATAAAACGAATACTTTTATTGAAATTAATTGAACTTTGTAACAACAATTTTGTTTAACTAAAAATAAATTTTTAAAATTTTATTTAGATGTCTTTCCATAACAGAACAAGACAAATTGCTTATATGACTTGCAATTAAAAAATAAAAATCATTATCACGAGCAAATTTTGAGCCCCAAACCAAAATTTTGGTTTTGGGTTATAATGTGATCATTTTCTCCCTCTAAACAAAACCCATATGCACAAATTTTGGTATAAGACGCTAATCTTGGTCGGGAATTGACCAAACACACCAACAAACAGTATGAAACTATTTAGTGCATGACTGATTTGAGTATGTTTGTAAGTATTAGGTACTTGGGTCCTACACTCACCCTTTTTGGGTCCCACTTGGATTTAATTAGGTCCCTTCCCACTTTGTGATTTTTTCAAATTAAAAAAAATAATAATAATAAATTGTAATTAACTTCAATGGAGCAAATTTATAGGCTCAATGAACGGAAGAGAAAAGGGTTTTGATACAATTGAAAAGTGCAGGGAAACAAGGAGGATAGGCAGAAAACATGTCTTCCTCAAAATTTATCCCTTGTAACAAGGTTTCATAATATAATTTAAATGACTCTTTTTTAGATTTTCTGATAAGTATTTATGCGCTCCGTTTTTAGATTATTTCTTTCGCTTTTATTAATAAAGTTTCAGAATATATATATATTTATTTATTTGAATCTTAAAAATCTATTTGCCTGTAAGATCCAATATGCATGCATTATTAGATTTTAATTTTGGATGGAGTAGGAAAAATATTTAAAGTATATTCTAAAAAAAAAGACATTTTATTCCCTTTTATGATTAAAATTTACCAACCAAATATTCGAGTCAAGTAAGGGCATAATGAGTGCCATATGCATTTCCATCTTACTTACTTTATCCATTCCATGGGCAAATTTTATTATAATTGAACTTTGAACATAATCTATTAGCTGATATAAAAAATAATACAATATTTTATTACACAATAACAATAAGGAATAAAGAACTCTGAAAATAATAATAATAATAATAATAATAAAAAAGTAAAAGAAAAGAATTCATGAATGAAAAAGCCTTGATTTGCGCTTTGATGAGAAGAACTACTAAGACTTTCCTATATAAAGACCATGTCATTGTTCAAACAAAGTCATAACATAACATAACCCTAAACAAAAACAAAAACATTTTTGTTGGCAGTTGGTTCTAATTAAAGATACCAAAAACAAGAATGAGGGGATTTTCTTTCTGCCTTTTGTTTTCTTTTTCATTCTTTCTATTGGGTTTTGTCCAAAGCAATCCCAATTACAAGGATGCTTTAACGAAGTCCATATTGTTCTTTGAAGGACAGAGGTCAGGAAAAGTCCCTCCTTCACAAGGAATCAATTGGAGGTCCACTTCTGGCCTCAGTGATGGTTTACTTGCCCATGTGAGTTAGTTAATTTTAGTTATTCACTTCTTTCTTGAAATTAAGAATTACTATTTTTAATGCATTCATCTATATGTACGCAAATGTGAGCAATTTCTCCTAAGTTTCATTGCCTCGAGCATAATGGGATTTGTTTTGTTATTTTCACCAGGTGGATTTAACAGGAGGTTACTATGATGCTGGAGATAATGTAAAATTTAATTTCCCAATGGCCTTCACCACTACAATGCTATCATGGAGCACTATTGAGTATGGCAGAAGAATGGGCCCTGAACTGCAAAATGCAAGGGCTGCAATCCGATGGGCCACAGACTATCTACTAAAATGTGCCAGGGCCACTCCAGGAAAGCTCTATGTTGGTGTAGGTGACCCCAATGTCGATCACAAGTGCTGGGAAAGACCTGAAGACATGGACACTGTCCGTTCTGTCTATTCTGTCTCTGCCAGTAACCCCGGCTCTGACGTTGCCGGCGAGACAGCTGCTGCTTTAGCTGCCGCGTCTATAGTTTTCAGGAAAGCTGACCCAAATTACTCAGAGCTGCTATTGAGTACAGCCAAGAATGTTTTTCAATTTGCATTGAAATATCAGGGTGCTTATAGTGATTCTCTTGGATCAGCTGTTTGCCCATTTTATTGCTCATATTCTGGTTACAAGGTAACACAATTTCCGATGTTTCGAGAGCTATAATAAATCATAAATGTAATGTAATCAACGGCATAATTGCAGGATGAGCTACTATGGGGAGCTGCCTGGCTATTCAGGGCAACAAATCAAATGTATTATTACAACCTCATAAAATCTCTGGGAGCTGATGACCAACCTGACATTTTCAGTTGGGACAACAAATATGCTGGTGCTCATGTTCTCTTATCGAGGGTATGTCTCAAAAAACACAACTATAAGTACAGAACTATTATGGTCTCAAAACTCTTGGAGTGAAATTTGTTTATTTTCCTCTGCAGAGAGCTCTGCTCAACAACGACAAGAATTTTGAGCAGTACAAAGTAGAAGCAGAAAATTTCATGTGCAAGATTTTACCCAACTCTCCTTTTACCACTACACAATATACACAAGGTAATAAATATTTACTTACAACAGTGGAGGAATTATTAGTTAGAACTACTGTCTCTTTCCTAATAAAAATTATGTGTCCCACATTAGTTGATTTAAAGGGAATATGACTTATATGAGTCTGTTTTATCCATTTGATGCTTTTTATAATTGCAGGGAATTATGGTAATTTTTTTTAAAATGTTTAAAATATTTTCAATGAAATTGCAGGAGGGCTCATGTACAAGCTACCTGAAAGTAACCTTCAATATGTAACATCCATAACGTTCTTGCTCACTACATATGCCAAGTATATGAAATCTACAAAGCACACCTTCAATTGTGGCAATCTCATGGTCACCCCTAACTCCCTCTTATACGTAGCTAAAAGACAGGCAAGTCACTACACTACACCGTTTTGGTTAGGTCTAAATTTACTTTATGAAAGCATGTTTTTAAAAAAATTAATTTCATTATTGACTTTCTTTTTTCCTAATAGGTGGACTACATTCTTGGGGTGAACCCAATACAAATGTCTTATATGGTAGGGTTTGGGCCTCATTTTCCAAAGAGAATTCACCACAGGGGATCTTCATTGCCTTCACTTGCAAGCCACCCACAAACAATAGGTTGTGATGGGGGTTTCCAGCCTTTCTTCTATTCAGCAAACCCTAATCCTAACATTTTAATTGGAGCTATTGTGGGTGGTCCTAATCAAAGTGATGGTTTCCCCGACGATCGATCTGATTATAGTCATTCAGAACCTGCAACTTATATTAATGCTGCCATTGTTGGACCTTTGGCATATTTTGGTGGAAGCTCTAAGTAATTGGAGTTTTTTATCAGCTTTGTTTCCTTTGTAAATATTTCTCTATGATTGACACTAAATTGTGGTCTATGTTGCCATCCGAAACTAGGATGTGCTAAGTTTACCTTAATTATCATCTCAACATTTGTATTTCTAGAAATTTAAGATTTCGACTTTCGTTTTTTAAGTTTTTAGAATATGAAGGACTGTATCTCAATGTATCCTTAAAAAAAGTTTTAAGGGAGATAGACTACCTCCTATTGTGTAGTCTAAAATTTAACTGGGAGTCTAATTGACCTCCGGAGAAAAATCCAAGTGAGGACTTTTATATTTCTTTTAATGGAATTTTGGTACAACATTTTAGCCTTTCTACTATTGTTCTTATGCGGAAATTAGAATCCAGGTTAACGGCAGAGTCTGGATGCTTGATAGACACAGTTGAAATGTTTAAATAAATAAAATTCTATTTTGGTTAGCTAATTGTGTCTCTTCCCATTTTGTGTTGTTTCAAATTGTAAATCAGATGTAATTGATTTCAACAAAGCAAATTAATTTCTAATGGTTCAATGAAAGGGAGAAAAAATAGATTTTATATAATTGAAAGGTGGATTGCAACAGGGAGGATTGGCAGAAGTCGTGTCTTCCTCAAAATTTCCCCTTTAAATTCGGGTTTAACAATCTAAATGAATTGAAATTTGGGTTTCAAAAACTAGATGAATAACTCTTATTTAATTACTTTTTATATGGTTAAATCACTAAAAAAATGTTTGTACTATGACGTTTTTAGTAAATTTAGCTATCATTTTTAATTTTATCAATTATTGTCTCAGACTTATTTTTATTTGTCAATTACTGTCTTTATTTTTGTTTTAATATAATGTAGTTCAAAATGATTTCACCCTAGTTTTTATATATGAATTTGAATTGGTCAAATTTTTAAAATTTTAGATTTTAAAATGTAAAATTCAATTTTAATATTTGATTTAAATTCCAGTTTTACAAATAATGATTTAAAATAATGATGATAGTGGTGATTTGGAGTGTTTGGATAATTAATGAAACAAATTTAATTATAAAATCTAACGAATGAAATTTAGTAAGAATATTTTATTATTGCTAAATCAAACTTGTAAAACAGTTTGAATTTTTAAAAAATCAAGTGAAAAACCTGAAAATCAAGCAAAAATCGAGTCAAATTACTGAATTGGATCAAACCGGTTCGAATCGAACCGGAATAGTCTGTAAGCCCAGATTTTCTTTTTCTTTCTTCTTTTTCCTTCTTCTGGCTGGGTCTAGACAGCCCTTCGCCGCCCTCCCCCTCTCTTTCTTTCCCTTCTTCTTTTCCGGTCACCAGAGGTAAGTCCGACGGAGTCTTTGCGCCGCCTTCTTCCTGCCGTCGCGCCTCAGCTCCTCTCTTCCTCTGTTTCCGTTCGAGCGAATCGCAGCAGCGCCACCAGCGTCCAGCCACTGCTCAACGTTGAGTTTTCTCCTCGCTCGTAACTCAGGCGAAAGCTGCAACACAGGCGAGCCATGGTCTCCTTTCGTCGATCAACGGCGATGTCAACGGTGGCACTTGGCTCCTGTCGAGCCGCTGCGGTCAGATAGAAGGTCGATCTCGCGCAACTAATGCCAAAAACGGACCCCTGAGTGAAAACCGAGCCAGATGGTATGAAGAGCGTTCAATTTCGAGCATCCACGACTTTCCGACCACCGTACGCGGCTGCCCGGTGACCCGCCGGCGAGTCTCCGGCGAGGCCACAAGAGACAGAATCACCTTCTCCTCCTGCGGATCGTGGAATCTTAGCCTGATTTTTGATTGGTACATTCTAACACCCGGTTCCTAATTTTTGGTATAAATTTCAAATTTCAAAATTTTAGCTAAATAAGTTGATTTCGAATAAATAAATAATTAATCGTTAGGTTAACGAGAACCTTGATAAATAAATATACTTAATTTTGAAAATTTAGAATAATTGTTTTAAATAGTTAATTAGATAATGATTAGCCTAAAGCTAATTGGTTGTGCATAAGAAAGTAAAATGAGTGTTTAGTCGGTCAACGGATATTAGATGCGTAGTTCTGATAAACTAAGGCTTGGAAGGCCTAACCACTTCTGATATTGATGTAAGCATCCAATCTAAGAAAATAGTAGTTATAATTAGTTCTTGTTAAAAGTGAATTTTAACAACTTAACAATTTAATTACCTTAAAGCTGTTAATTGGTAAGCTTATGATTTAGCAAATAATCTTATATGAATATTTAATGTGTTTTATCTGTTAGTAGAAATCGAGATACGCTCTTTCAAAAAAAAAAAAAAAAAAAAAGATATTAGATGCGATAGTTCTGAATAAAACTAAGGTGAAGGCTTAACCACTTCTGTATTTGATGTAAGCATCCAATCTAGAGAAATAGTAGTTTATAATTTAGTATCTTGTTTAAAAGTGAAGGTTTAACAACCTTAACAATTTAATTACCTTTAAAGCCTGTAAATTGGTAAGCTTATGGATTTTAGCAAAAATCTTATATGAAATTTAATGTGTTTTATCTGTTAGTAAGAAATCGAGATACGCTCTTCAAAAAAAAAAAAAAAAAAAGAAATCAGAACGTATATTAAAAAAAAAAAAAAAAAAAAAGAAATCGAGATACGTATATTATACCTAGATGTTTAGGTAAATATTGATGAATTGAGGTCAAAGATAGTTGTGAAAATATCAAGCCAAGAATAGTGATTATTTATGATATAAAAATGTAAATTTAAAAATGAAATATTATAGTAATATTAATGGCTGATATTATCATTGGAGCATGATTGGAGGAAGGTGGGAGTTTAAATTGATTGATTGCCTGACGAATGAGCCGTGTGAATTGAGTAAATGTTTAGATGATAAAAAAATGGACGGGATAGTTGTTGTGAATTGCCCATGAATGAGTTGGTTTATCAAATTTTTAGGGGAAGTTCTCTTGAAATTTCGATAGAATTTAGATTAGATTTAATTGTATATAGGTTGTAGAATTTATTTAGGATAATCCTTTCTTATTTAATTATTTTAATATTTATTTATTTTCCAAGTACCATTTATTATATTATTAGCATTTGTTACTTATATGATTATTTGTATTTGAATATGAATGTCTAATTGTGCACTTGCATTATGATATTTAATTGTTTGATGTACTTGCATTTAATTGCATTGTTTGATTATTTATGTTGTCACATTACTATGCCTTGTTTGTGTGGAATTGGGATAAAGTGGGTCACCATAAGTTTGTGAGGACGGTCCTGGAAATAATAAGATATGAAATTTGATTGTCGGTCAGGTATGGGGAGATCGGTGCCCTCGTGTGCATTTGATGATATGATATGGATGATATGGAAAAAAACAGGGTGGTCTCTTGTTGGTATGAAAAAGAAAAGAGAGTATATAAAAAAAGAGAAGGCTGGTCAAATGAGGATTAGACCGGTCGACTATGTACAGGGGATTGGCTCCCTGGTGCACACGTCATGAGAGGATGTGTCATGTATGAATGCTATTATGTCATTTGTGTGATTGCTTGCATGATCATATAATTAGTCGGATAACTGGATAAGTATATTTACATATTCGTGTGAATGCATATGTTGTGCAATACTTATTATTCCTCATAAAACTCACATGTTTTTGTTTAACTTTTTCAGAAAATAGATACTTCTATGTCTCGGTTAAAGCTCTGTCTCCTTCCCGCAGAGCTAGAAAAGTAATTTTTAGAATTAGTGGTTATTTAAATTATATCATTATATATACTAAAATTTATTTATATTTATCTGTTAGTGAACTCCGCAGTTATAGGATTATAACTGATAAATTTATGTAAGTATTTAGTTATGCATTTATATGAAAGCATGAACTAGTTAGCCCATATTATAAATATTGTGTAATGCAATCGGGCCTCATTTATGAAATATTTAAATAGTGGATTTGAGTCTAATATAGTATAATCACAAGATTGTTATATAAAATAATTTGAGCTTACAGTTCCTGTGTTCCAATTAGATGTGATTGAATTGAGTGATTCAGACTTATTACGGGCCTGAAAAATCTACTCTAATTACATTTGAGTGAAGTATTATGATAAGAAGAAGAACTTTATAATCAAGGAATAGATATAACATTATCTAATAGGATAGCGGATAAGATATAAAGATTTGGGTATGGGATAAGATTTGGGTATGGAATAAAATTTAGGTATGGGTATTGCACTATCCAATCCGAACCCTACTCATTACCATCTCTATTTATAATTGCTTGAAGGTCCAATATGCATATATTATTGGATTTAATTTTGGATAGTGCAGCAAAAATGTTTAATCAAATCTTTTTTAGACATGTTTAAAGTGATTTTATTCCCTTCTACAAATAAAAATCCTAAGTACTTATAATTGACACTTAAAATGTATACTGGCCTTGGAAAATCGAATATCCATAGAGCGAGCGTATTGAACCAAATTGGAACAGAAATTTTAGGACTACTTCTAATCCTAGTTTAGAATTCTTTTAGGCTTGTAGTGTTTAAACTAATTTATTATATAAAAAATAGTTAACAATTGGCCTTACAATCTTTTTATCCAAGGTCCTCCCTTGTAAAGACTTGTTTACAAAGAAAACATAACTAGCTTGTAAGCACTTTCATTAATTCCAGCTCCCAGCAAAATATGCCAAAGGTCCAACAATGGCAGCATTAATGTAAGTTGCAGGTTCAGAATGACTATAATCTGATCGTTCATCGGGGAAACAATCATTTTGATCCGGACCGCCCACGATAGCTCCAATTAAAATGTTAGGGTCAGGGTTTGCTGAATAGAAGAAAGGCTGGAAACCCCCATCACAACCTATTGTTTGTGGGTGGCTTGCAAGCGAAGGCAATGAAGATCCTCTATGGTGAATTCTCTTTGGAAAATGATGCCCAAATCCTACCATATAAGACATTCGTATTGGGTTCTCCCCAAGAATGTAATCCACCTATAAGGGTGAAAAAGGCAAAGTAAAATACTAAATTAATTTTTTCTAAAAAAAATAGAATTACAGAGCAAATTAATTAGACCTAATTTAAAGAGTGAAGTGAGTTGCCTGTGTTTTTGCTAGGCCTAAGAGGATATTAGGGGTGACCATGAGATTGCCACAATTGAAGGTGTGCTTTGTAGATTTCATTAGGGGTGACCATGAGATTGCCACAATTGAAGGTGTGCTTTGTAGATTTCATATACTTGGCATATGTAGTGAGCAAGAATGTTATGGATGTTACATATTGAAGGTTACTGTGAGGTAGCTTATACATGAGTCCTCCTGCCATTTCAATGAAATGGTTAGCCACTATTTTGAACATTGAA